TAATGATGGGTCCTGCAGAAAAATGAATAGACTTAAAAAATGATATATTCACGAAGTCGGATTCAGCCAGAGAAAAAGGAAAAAAAAAAAAGAAGAAAAACTCATTTTCTGCATCGTGGATGGAACTGGAGGGCATTGTATGAAATGAAAGCCCGAACACAAAAGGAAAAATACTTGTTCTCACTCCCTAATAGAGGTGTAAAATTTGATGTAATGGGCATAGCGAGTAGGATAATAACCACTGGTATCGTTGGTGGAGATTGGGAGGGAGATAGAAGGAAGTGAGATGGCATTTACCAAAATACAGTTAGATAAGAATAATAAGCTTTATTATTCTGCAGTGATTTAGAATGACAGTAATTTTCAATAATTTGCCATATTTTTATAGAAAACTAGGATGAATTTATTGTGTGGCTCTAAACATAAAGAAATAATCACTAGCTAAGAAGATAGAAATGCTGATTACTCTTATTTGGTAACTACTGATTGTATAGATGATGAATCTAATTATCACACCCCATAAATATCTGTAATTTTATGACAATTACATTAAAATGTCCATCAGTATCAATTTGACAATAATGTAGTGCTCAGATTTGCCAATCTGAATACAGAATTATACAAACATCATTTCACATTCACTATAATACTATCATCAAAATGGCCAAACTCGCAGCATTCTGCAAAGCTGTGTGTATCTGGAATCCTTTTATATTGTGACAGAGTATAAAATTTCCTGACCCAACTGTGGTGATGGCTTCAGACTCTTCTAAAGAAAAACACCAGACCTTTGACCTCGCCATTCACTCCCAGTAATTTAGCTAAAATAAATGAAAGCATATGTTTCCAAGGACAAGGAAAGAAATTTACTAATAGCACTGGGTTTTAACTATCTCAGATACTAATAGGCAATAGTTAAATGAATTGTGGAGCTGCAAATATAATTTTCTCAATTTTAGAATTAGATAACAAATTTCCAATAGTAACAAAATGTCTATATCTTATAAAAGTACAACAAACAACAGAATCTAGACAAAAAATGATATACACCTAAAGAACAACCTAAGCAAATTAAACACAGGGCAGCTGAGGGAATGTTTGCCTTTGAAAGTAGAAAAACTGGGTATAGTTCCAAATGAGAGTTTCTTCAATAATTAAAATACCCTTTGAATGTTAGATACTACATGACAGAACTAATTAAAGCTATTTTAAATCTGTCTACAAAATTTTAAATATTGTATGTTAATTATGAAAAATGTTAATGGTTTAGGCTTACTAATTTAGTGATTAAGACTGCTGGCTTTGGCTACAAACATAATAAAAATATTAAAAATCTGCATCCTGCTTGCTATTGCCAAATCTTAACCAAATAAATTAACATTATGATCCTACACTATTTGTATACAAAATAAAACCAAATACGTAAGGGTTTATTTTAAACAATGAATACTGTATATAAAGATGCGGGAGTGATATTTCATCATGTAAAAATAATTCAATAAATAATACTTTGCTATATTAATGAAGCCCTTATAATTTTTCTTTCAACTAAATTTATGTCTGATATTTCCAGTGTTTTGTTTATTTCCTTCCACAGTCTGTGTATCTGGAGAACATTCCCGGCTTTTTTTTTTTCTTTCTTTTGCCACTGATGCCCCTTTAGCATGACAGCCACGCACTACTCATGTTCCACGCAGAAGTGAATGCTTCCCCATTTGTGTCAATTATGACCAATACTTTTTTTTCATGGTGATTCCTTGTTGCACTAAAAATCATTATATTAACATCTGTATAAATGAAAATAAGATCTTGCCTCGAAGTTTTTATTTGTAATTTTAAATGCAGCACATTCTAGGCATCAAGTGAATGCTTGACAAAAAATATTTCACAAAGAAGTGATTTCAGAGTTTGAGAAAAAAAATCACAACTTACTTCTCTCACTTCGGAGTATTATACAAGTCTGTCACATAAATTGGATGCATAGAGAATCAGCTTCAGTGTAGAGATCTCTCGGCTTCAGTCCACGGCCCCTTACTGCCCGCTCGAGGTTAGCTAGTGTGCTAAAGCAAAGCCCTAGTCTGCTCTCTAATCAAACACTGTTCCTGTGAGGCACGGGTGAGTTTTCTTTCTTCCATTTTTTTCAACTATTTTCTCACATCTATTATACAGTGATTTAAGTTATTGAAAGGACAGGCAGGTGCCAAAATTCCATGGATGTTTCGTATTCATTTCCATTATGTTTTCTATGGATTTTCTTGAATTTTCAAGCCCTTCTGTAGAGGAGGACGGCATGGCTCAGAGTTATTGAGGAGAAAGGCTGTACTCGCACAAAAGGCTAAAAGGGACTCTGAATGCTGGAAGAGTTCACAAAGAGAAAGGACACTAGGAATTGAGGTACAGATGTCCCTCTAGTCTGGAGACACTTGAATTTTTATGTTTTGAACATCATCCGTTTCAAAAAGGACCCACATGCTCCTTGGTATCTGGATACAATTTGAGATGGAGAACTCTAATTGATCAGCATATACAGATCTGTATTTTGAGAAAGTGCCCACCGTTCCCTGCCCCTCTACAATCTCAAAATACTCAATTCTCAATTTGTTCCATTGTTGACGTATTTTAGCAAAGAGCGGCCAGTGTACAGGTTGTGAGTTATTTATCGTTTGCTTCTAATTATACCTACACGTTTTTCTTTGTCTCCCTGAATCATTTCTAATCATTTCTTTCTAGCCTGTACATTGTCTGTTGACATAATCAGATGCTCTTTTCATAAAACAGATTTGATGGGATTCGAAGTCCAATAGCAGAACTATTCATTGATGTCGAAGCCAGAGAGAATAACCATGCCCTACTAAAAATCATTTGCCATGTGAGATGATCTACACTTTGGCAGACTGAAAGCTAAATCTGTCACAATTCTATAAAACAAATGGTTAGTGGGAGAACTTAATCCGATGTGTTTATTTATGTGAGTTAACATATGAGGGAAATGAAACCTTCTCATCAAACCACCCACAGTTAGAAACAGCCATGTGGCAGAGCAGATAATAGAGAGGAAAGGGGTTATGTGTTTATAGTTGGCTCCTCTCAAAGGATTCTGACCCCCTCTGTCACAATTCCTCTACAGATGGGGGCTGTGAACCCACAGTATGGACTGAAATCCGTGACAGCCTTGCCGTGTTCATTCTACAGAACGCTATTTCTGTCTTGAATGCCACGTACGCAACAACGATAGACCATCATGAATTGCTGTTATAACATGCTTTCAGAGGCCACAGAGTCTCCGAAATTCCACTTCCAAATTCTCCTCTAATTATTTAAGAAACAGTAGTCCTGGAGCACATTTCTTCTTTGCGGCCCACGAAAACATTTTTGAGGAACACTTGCTAAGTGTATCTTAGGAGTGGGGTGCAGCCTTCATCATCCTCTCCTGCCCCCTTGTGGTTTCCTGTCCTCACATTGGACTCTGGCACTAGGCAAACAGCCCCTTCTAGAAGAAGCATAATGTTAATTACCTTGTGAACATCCAGAAAATTCCCCAACTAAACTGAGATTGCTGCTTAATTTTCAGAAGAAAGGTGAATCCAATACGCAGTCATTTTGAGGTCTTCTGCTTTACCTGTTAACATGGCATGTGTCCTACTGTTGTGCTGATTTTTTTAGACAGTTTCTTGTATTCTCCATTTTTCTGCATATATTTGGAAGGATCTGCTAGCCTATTTGCTATTTTATGGCTCGTTGCTTCATGTTTGATGCTTAGAATGTCTTTCGCAATCTATTGCCTCATCTCACCCACTGCACAGGTGGATTCTCCCAAATTAAAAATGCCGCCTCCCTGAATTTCTTTTACCTAACTTCCAAGATTCCTTTTCTTTGCTCTTATTGACTCGTCTTTTTTCTGCCTGTCCCTGTGATGCTGTCACTATTATTCTTCTAGATGAATTTAGGGTCTTTTTTTCTCTCTTAACACATTCATTTGCGACTATGTTCACTACTGTTGCTCTGTTTTGATCAAAAATGGAAAAACTTAACTCCCAAATCCTCTGAATGAATACAGTAATATGAGACCACCTAGGGTGGCCCGGGTTGACTGCCTGATGTCTGGCAAATATTTATCAATCTGTTTTGCCCTGTGCTTCCTTCCCTCCATGTCCCTGAGGGAATAAACTACTCCTGGAAATTCACACTTTTCCGAGACACATACGTGAACACACTCTCCGTTTTTCTAAACCCTCATTAAATTGTAATAGCTGTCTGGTATAGCTCTCCGGTCCCTCTTACGTCAATATGCTTCATTTCTGAGCTCAGACCACACCACCACCCCCACCTTTGGACAGGTTCCATGTTACTAGTGGTCTGTCCCCACTTCATAATGCAGCACAGTGATTTTTCTAAAGTATAAATCTGTCCCTGTCATTTGCCTATATAAACTCGTGCTTAAAGAGTCCGAACTAGCTGAATTGGTTAACTACAGAACAGGAAACTGAACCATGTGTCAGTCAGGACTATGGTAGACGCCCCTCTGCACAATCCACTTGTGGTGGTCGGGGGCGTGGAAGGGGCGGGATCTAGCCCCCTCCCCCCTCCTTCTTACTGCGGAGAGCTGCAGAGCCAACCCGCACTCACTGCGAGCTGTGAGCTGTGAACTGCAGCTGCGCTGCTAGCAGTAAGCCAGTCACCCTGGCTGAGAGCTGCAGAGGAAGCCAGACAGTGCTCTTAGAGAACTGCGGTGCCAGCCAGACAGCTCTCCCGGAGAGCTGTGGTGCTGGCCCGGCAGTGCTTTCTGAGAGCTGTGGAGCAATCCTGGCAGCGCTGGCTAAGCTCGGCAGAGAAAGCCGTCAGCATTCTCCGGGAACGGCGAGGCGAGCCTTTCGAGGCTCGCTTCCTATTCAGCTTTCAAGCTGGAGGAGGATCCTGGACCGCCACCACGTCGGCATGCTCAACATTGGAAGAAAAAGCGCAGCAGTCGGAGACGGGCCGCCAGCAGTCAAGCAAGGGACATGTCGCAGCTAAGTACGAATACGGGTGACTCCAGCCCTCCGGAGTCCCCTATGCCTGCAGTCCATAGCCGCCCTACTGTTCTGATGCGGGCTCCGCCTGCTTCCTCCCGGGCTCCTCCAGTCCCTTGGGATCCACCTCCCGTGGACTTGCAGGCTCCCCTGACTGCTTGGCAGGCTCCTCAGCCTTCCTGGGAGGCTCCAGAGGGCCAGCTGCCTGCCCCAGTGCCTCAGCTGGCCCAACCTCCTGCCCTAGGGGCCCCAATGGTCCAGGCTCCGCAGCTGGGGGGGGCGATGGCCAAGCCTCCAACTCCTGGAGTCTTGATGGTCCATCCGCCTCCTCCCGGAGCCCCAGTGGCCCAGCCATCAACTCCGGGAGTCATGATGCTTCATCCTTCTGTCCCGGGGGCCCCTTTGGCTCACCCTCCTCCCCAAGGAACCCCAATGACACACCCTCCTCCTCCTGGGACCCCGATGGCACACCCTCTTCCTGGGACCCCGATGGCACACCCTCCTCCTCCTCCTCCTCCACCTCCTCCTCCTCCTCCTCCTCCTCCTGGGACCCCGATGGCCCACCCTCCTCCTCCTCCTCCTGGGACCCCTATGGCCCATCCTCTTCCACCTGTGAACCCGATGGTGCACCCTCTCTCTCCTGGAACCCCGATGGTTCATCCTCCCCAACCTGGAACTTCATTGCCATTGCCGCACGCTCCTATTCCGGGGGCGCCAATGGCCCAGCAACCAACTCCAGGAGTCCTGATGGCCCAGCAGCTGACACCGGGAGTCCTGATGGTCCAGCCTCCTGCTCAAGGAGCCCCGATGATCCAGCATCCACCGGCCGCCTTGATGTCCCAGCATCCAGCTTCGATAACTCCGATGGGCAAGCATCCAGGTCCTGGTGTCATGATGATCCATCCTCCAGGTGCCAGAGCTCCAATCATTCAGCCTCCAGTGTCAGGAGCACCAATGGCACAGCCAGTGCTGCCCCCAGCGCAGCCTCTGGTTTCATGGTCCCCGCAGGGTCAGCCTTTGATCCTGCAAATCCAGTCCCAAGTCATAAGAACTCCTCAACAGGTTCCCACTGTCCCATCAACACCACAGGTGCAGCTGGCCACAACCCCAGGCTGGCAAGTCACCACACCAAACTGGCAGGTGACCCCCCAGGGGTGGCAGGGGACGCCCTTGAACTGGCAAGCCGCACAGCTCGCATGGCAGGCCCCCACAATAGCCTGGCAGCCCCCCCCTATGCGCCAAGGGCACTCATCTCTTCGTTCTGGCCACACACCCATTCGACCTGGACCACCTCCAATACTCCGCCAGATACAACCTGTGATCCGTCAGACCCCAGCCTTGCTTCGGCATATCCCACCACTGATTCGCCAGACCCCTGCAGCTCTCAGACAAGCTTCACATGCCATAAGCCAGCATCCGCTGTGGCAAGTCCTGCCATCCCAACCTTCCCTGCGTCAGGCTCAACAGGCTCGTCTGCTGATCCCCAGGACACCGGGGACACACCACTTGCCTGCAGCACCACAAATTACTCAGATACACTTGGTGCCACAGGCAGGGCCACTGTCTATCCCAATTCCTTTGCCCCAGGCTGCCCCTCAGTCTGCTCCCCGAGCTGTGCATTGCCCATCAATCATCTGGCATGCCCCCAAAAGCCAGCCCCAGGTGCCAGAGGAGCTCCCTGGTCCAGAGGAGCTCCCTGTTCCAGAGGAGCTCCCGGTGCCAGAGGAGCTCCCGGTGCCACAGGAGGTCCCGGTGCCAGAGGAGGTGCCGGTGCCAGAGGAGGTCCCGGTGCCAGAGGAGGTCCCGGTGCCAGAGGAGGTCCCGGTGCCAGAGGAGGTCCCGGTGCCAGAGGAGGTCCCGGTGCCAGAGGAGGTCCCGGTGCCAGAGGAGGTCCCGGTGCCAGAGGAGGTCCCGGTGCCAGAGGAGGTCCTGTCTCCAGAGGAGGCCCCGGCGCCAGAGGAGGCCCCGGCGCCAGAGGAGGCCCCGGCGCCAGAGGAGGCCCCGGGGCCACAGCAGCTCCAGGTGCCACAGGAGC